CCCTTCTGCTACTACGGCACACAGGTCCTGCAATCTCTCTCTGAATGTCCTTGCTGCTCTCTCTCTACTACTGCGAACTACCCTACTATGACGCCTAGCGCCGTCGACTACTTTCTCGCCAGGCATTCATTTTTTAAGATTGAGAACATTCTCAATTGACTATGACAAATAGTATGAAAAACTTTTCAGCTTTTTCGAAGACTGTTAGGAAGAAAAGGTCTAAGATCTTGGCACACTATAGCACAGTCGCGACCAGAATCAAAGAAGGGAGGTTCCTGGCACTGGCCTCCCTTTTGTGCATCAGTCTCCGTCTCCCACGTGACCCTGGCCCTCTTTGATAGGCCCTGACACAGCTGACAATGATTCAACCTGTCATGGGATCCTTCCTGGGACTGAGCTGTGACTTCACCAGGACTGGACACATGGCGACTCCCGACCTACCGACTACTGGGGACTTCTACTGTTCCTACCCTTGTTATCCTATCGGATTTGGCCTGTATTGTACCTAGCAAAGAGTTCTACTGCAGCCCTGCCGTACAAAAGAAAATGGGACACAGAACCCAGGCCGTACTGCGGAGGCTGGTGAATGCACTCCCACCAATGAAAATTTGAGGTCCTCCAAGAAGAAGAACTTCAGCTGAGCTGCTTGGTGAGAGGGATAATCCGGAGAGAGGAGAGCGACTGTTAAGGATGACGCCTAACATTAGCACTACAACTTGGTAGGATCGGGGCGACATGATACTATGTTAGCCTCCCAGCACCCATCCTCTTTTGTCTGGCTTGAGCCAGAGGTCACCAGCCACAGCGGAATATATCCTCTCGACCCCTTTTCTGACCTACCTTGCTTTTGCTAATTTCTTCAACTCTTTCTGTGTATGCTCGCTGGTGACAAGCAACCTGACAGCCCCCAGAGCTGGAACACCTCGGAAGGTACGAAGTACGAAGTCCTTCTTCGCTTAGATTTCTAAGCGAATGCCATACATTGGGACAAGTAGGTTATCAGCAGGAAACCACGAAAAAGTACGGCCGCTCGCCCTAGCTAGCGACCGCCGAGCTGTTTAAGATCCTCAGAGATTTTACGAGAGAATTCTCTCAATCAAACAAAAGAGCGCTCTTGCGCCTTCGGCCTTCCATACTTTGTGAAAAGAAAAAGAAAAAGAAAAAGAAAAAGAAAAAGAAATCAGTACTGCCTTAAGGCTATAGGAACTTGGCAGTAGTGGTCTGCCATGAAGTACTCTCTTTTAGCTTAAGAGCTCGATGGTGGAAACAGCTTAACGATAGAGGCGCGAAAAAAGCTGCTCACCGCACCCTGAAAGGTTTGGTCTCTTCCTATGTGGCATCTCTCTCTCTCTCTCTCTCTCTCTCTCTCTCTCTCTCTCTCTCTCTCTCTCTTTTTTCAACCTCAGGATGCTACGTCTGTTGCTCCTCTGGCAAGGATAGAGGAGATCCAATTACGGGTGCAGCTGGAGGGTGCCCAATGTTGGATGTGGTTCAAAGCTGAACATTGAAGAGGGAGATCAACCCTTTTTGGCATATACCATTCTATTGGCCTGTTTTTCAAATCCATTCCCTGCTAGACGCTTCTTCCTTCTTATTCCTTTTCCTCTACTGTAACATTGTTGCCAATTTTGCCGTGGAGTTAGAAAGATGTTGCCAATTTTGCCGTGGAGTTCGAAAGAGACCAGAAATCAGCAACTGTATATTAGAAAAGGCAGGTACTCTACAATAGTAGTTAGATTTCTAATGGGTAATCAGGCCCCAGGCCAATAGCAACATGCGTACCACTTCAGCACACCCCTAGAAGTTATATGCTTCACATCGTACCCACTCATAGAAGCAATGACAGGTGCGTGTACCACTTGCAACAGCTGGGTACAATTCTGGCTCTGTCCTAGAGAATATTTAGACGGAAAACAGAAAAGGGCATCCGAGTAGCACACCTGGTTTGCCGGTCATTATCAGTTGTATCTGCGCCACGTTCACTTCCGGCAAGATCGATAAATGAGAACTTCCCTGACAAAGAAGCGCACAGCAGAACCCTCCAGTTCAGATATCATCCTCATGCCCTTCTCTTTCATGAAACTTCGATTTTTGAAAGTCGACTTCTGTTTTTTTGTGCTTCACATAGAAATTCCATCCAGATACGTTGAAATATGCACCATGTTCGAACAGAGCAAATATCATCCTTTCAGGATTTTCCTCAATTCAAAAGGTGCTGAGCTGTGGTCAAGAAAGGCTGATGCTACATCCCCCAAGAAACTGGGGACTCTAACTCCAAAAGAAACCAAAGACGGACGGGACCTCTAAGATTGAGCCTGACCCCTCACAACTGGCTTACATACCGTGCAATACAGCGTACATTGTTCAGTATTCTTCTTCTATCTGACCATGCACGGAATCAAACCGGCAATATGTGGCTGAACAACCAAATGCCTTTACAAAGTGGAGACGTTGTCCTACAGGCTTACGGAACCAAACCGGCAATATGCGGCTGAACAACCGAATGCCTTTACAAAGTGGAGACATTGTCCTATGGGCTCCTACCCCTGCACGGCTGCAATATGAGCACCCAATCCACCCACATGCCATCAGCATTCAACACACTCATGGTCCCTTCCCACACAGCCACTAGATCAGGGTACAATTTCCTGGCTAGTCGCTGGCGTAGTACAGTTCAGTACTTTTCTGAGAGCTGACCCAGCACGAAATGGTACCAGCATCTCTGGCTCAACAGCCAGATGACTTAAGCACTGCATCTGTGATGCAATGTTCAGAGTGGAGCCCTGCAGGTCGACATCCACCCCACCACCAAAATGGATGTGCCTTTTATGCTCAAGGAATCATGAGCTTGTGAAACCATAAAGTTGTGCTACTCAAGAGGCAGATCGAGCAATGGGTAGGCCCTCAGCGATCTCCAACAGAATGATTAGCGCCCTTCTTCCAATCCTCCGCGTGATACCGAAGAGGAATCATTACCATCCATGTGTGTTCGTGTGTGGGTGTGGGTCAGCATGTCCGCGTGCATGTGTGCGTGTCGGTGTGAGCACACATCCATGTGTGGGTGTGGGCGGGTGTGCTTGCACGGGAGTGGCTGCATGCTTGCATGTGTGCGTGAATGTGGGTGTGAGTGGGCATGCATGTGTCGGTGTGGGCGGGCGTGCTTGTGCGGGTGTGCGCAGGCGCGCTTGCATGCATGCGTGTCTGCGGGTGTGGCAGGCATGTGTGTTGGTGGCTGGGTTGCCTCGTGCACGCCATGCTCAAGTTTTCTGTTTCCCAGCACTCCAATGGGACCCTACCCCGAACTTTTACACTCGCCGTGGTGCCAGTCAGGACACAGCTAGACCTAGGGACAGCGCGCCACTGGGAGAACTTTTCTAGCGTGAGTGCACCACTATAAGACATCATAGAACTGAATGCCACACGCCACAAAATAAAACCCGAGGGAAAAAACTGAAAAGCATTACGAAGATAATAGTGATGGTGGGACCAGGCTGGCAGTTTCAACTCGACAGAATGAAAAAACACGGCAATGCCTTGTCTGACACAATCCGCCCTGCCACAATGTCGCCTCTCAAGGAAAGGCTATTGGATAACGATTGATCAATGGCTGCAGCACACAATTGCCACAAAGTTAGGAGAAACAACACGTCGCCCTAATAGGCCGGAGACATTTCACAACAAACCATCCTTTTAATCTTGGCCGAGACATTTACAACAAACCATCCTTTTAATCTTGGCCGTGAATCCAAACATCCGAAGGCCAGAGTTCAGGAATACCAAAGAAATTGGTGGGCAGCGTTACGGCCATGGCCCACTTAACTACAGAGTTCTGTTTCGATTGCCGACTTTGGAAAAAGAAGAGGCAGTCCAGACTTGCAAACATTTTTGAATTCAGCACTTATGTTGTGGTTCTTGACCTCTCCCTCTCTCTCAAACACACACATCCACACACACACACAGTGACCGAATGGGAGAAAGAAGGTTCCCCCCTCATTGAGCTTACAACGGGAAAGCGGGACTCTACCCCCTGCAGGTTTAGATGGGCTCTTGTTTTCTCCTTCCGGTTTCCTTTGTGCTTTCCCTCTTTGCTTTGTTTCCTCCTTGTTTTTTTGCATTGATACAGGCCTGTGTACGTTACAGAGGACCCCCGAGGGGGCCCCTTCACATTAACAAGAGTTGATCAGTGGGCATGGATCAGGAGGAGGATCTCACTCTCTGATGCCCGCACGTGTATGGGACCGGGTAAGTAACCAAGTCCAGGAACAACAGAGTTTCGCAAAGAGACATGATCATGTGGGGTGTCATATGCAGGGTAGCATTTTTCTGTTTTTTTTTCTTTCCGTTAATTTTTTCGTGACCAGGGGATTAGTGAGGTCCAACGGACGGCGGATGTGCGAAGTTTCTGAAGGGAGCACACCGCCCTTGGATTACGTGGAAGGGTTACGATCATGAGAAGTGACTACATGAGGGCCAGGCTTGCCAGGAACTATCCATCCTTCGACTAAGTGACGACTGGTACACCGTGTCCTGGCTGTAGTGGTTAAGATACTTGGTTCTTTGGGCAGAGGTCCCCGGTTCGAATCCGTGCAGGAGCACGGAGGAGGATTTAGGCCCGTGGAAGTGCCGATCCATATAACCAAACTGGGCAGGCTCCCGTGAGCTGCCAGGTAGGACAATTTGCAGCCTGGTACAGTGAGCGGACTAACTACCGGTAACAGTATGATCAGAAGAAGGGTACGTGCTCAGTTGGAGCTGAGTGTGCTAAAATTGCTGATGCGTCCGTGGGAGTTGAGTGTGGTGTTGAGTTGCGTTTGGACACCGCTTGCAGGGGTGGGATATCACGACTGGGATGGTTCCACTTTTGAACACCGTGTCCTGGCTGTATTGATTAAGATACTTGGTTCTTGGGGTAGAGGTCGCCGGTTCGAACCCGTGCAAGAGCACGGAGCAGGATTTAGGCCCGTGGAACTGCCGGATAGGACAATTCACAGCCTGGTACAGTGAGCGGGGTAAGTACCGGTAACGGTATGATCAGAAGAAGGGTACGTGCTCAGTTGGAGCTGAGTGTGCAAGAATTGCTGATGTGTCTGGGGGAGTTGAGTGTGCTGTTACGAGTTCAATTGGACACTACAGCTTTGCAGGGGTGGGGTGGATATCACGACAGGCATGGTTCCACTTCTGAACACCGTGTCCTAGCTGTAGTGGTTAAGATACTTCGCTCTTTGGGCCGAGGTCGCCAGTTCGAATCCGTGCAGGAGAACGGAGGAGGATTTAGGCCTGTGGAAGTGCGGATCCATATAACCAAACAACGGTGGTTGTGGTACAGTGCTGACGGGTTGTTGTGAGTGAAGCGGGGAGGCGGAATGGACTTCTTTACTGACTGGGACCACCAAGAGGAGGACCAGCGGGATGTGGAGGAAGCGGTAACGTGCTAAGCCTCCTAGTCACATTCCTCCCCTCTCGGCCCCTAGCTTCACTTTGCCTAGCCAATATGCAGGCCACAGCTTATTGCCCTGCAGAGCGTCATGCTCTTTGACCAGCACCACCTCTGCCTCCACTGCTAGCTGGATAAGCACCACTCTTCCTGCTCGCCCTTCTCCCAAATCTCGCCATCACCAGTGCACTCTTCCTTGGGTGCACCTCCAAGCAGATATACCTTGGTACTTCTTCAAAGAACTTCGCGCTGCTGCAAAGTGGCGCCATCTGTTTTACCACCACATTCCTTGCACTCCATGCAAACTGCTGCCCCATGCTGTTCGTCCTCGATACTACGTTCCGGACTGCTAGTGAACACTAAGGGGGTGGACGAAAGGAGCCTCAGTGATCGAATCCAGAACCGCCATGGAATCGTCTTCATGCACTTTCCTGGCTTTTCTCTCTTTTCTGTCCTTTCTATACTTCATGTACCCTCTCCCCTCTCTACCCTCTCCACTTTCAATACACTGAGCCTCCTTTCACCAACGACCGCATGGACCAAAGCCAAATTGCGGCAGTGTATCTTTTCCGCATTTTGGGGAAGATTCATTCTTCTTTTGCACATTTGGTAAGTAGTGGAGCGAACGAGTCTGCCTCGTGCTCCTCTTCCTACCCCCTTGCCTGTCAGGCAGGGATCAATGCGTCTCTCTCTCTCTCTCTCTCTCTCTCTCTCTCTCTCTCTCTCTCTCTCTGTGTGTGTGTGTGTGTGTGTGTGTGTGTGTGTGTGTGTGT